CCTGCCTGCTCAGCGGCCCCCCCTACCGCTGTCCCCCGGGCAGGCGAGCGGGCTTCGGGGCTGCGGAAAGCTCCGGGCACCGCTGGGTGTCCTGGATGAAGGCTGAGGATGAAGCCGAGCCTCCCCGCCCGGCGATTGCCTTGATCAGGATGCTGGATCCACACTGAGAGCCAGTAAAGGGACGCCTTCCTACGGGATGGAATGGCCTTTGATTCATTACAATGATCATCAAATCCAAATGGTTTCATTTGGGTTCTTTTTGCCGGTTGGCCCAGGGTCGAACTATTTTAACAGGCATGATTTTGAGGTCCCCAAACCATTCCATGAATCTGTAATTTTTATGTCTTTATTAAACTCCTGACTAATGCATCCCACTAAGTGTCACCCAGCAGCTATCACAAAAGTGCTTCTTGCTGGTTTTGACTTTGACAGTTTGTTTTTTCCCTGTATTGTTTCTTACAGTGGCACTGGGCAAGTGATGGTCATGGGCAGTTGTCATCACAAGAGAGCACAGCTGGGAATAGCCAGCATCTGCACTGTGTGACCAGTAGGACACAGATGTCGCTCCCTTGGGTGAGCGCTGCGCTTGGGGACAGAGAGGCCCCTGCCTGTAGTTTTTGCCATCATTTGCCAGCAGCATCCATCTCTCTTCCACTTTAGAAATCAGCCTGGAAGCCCAAATCCAGCCAGGGGTCCAGGTTTTTCCTGACTGCTGCCAAAATCACCAGTGAAGCAGCATGGGGCTTACCCCAGGTAAGGCAGAGCAACACAGGAGGATGTTCACATGCCTCAGACCTGCTCCTCCATTCCCTGAGCACCATGGCCACCCCACATAGGTGATGAGGGAGTGGGGAGAAGTGCTGCCAAACCAGAGCTCCCATGGCTGCCAGCAGCCAGGCAGAAGCAAGGTAGGGGAGGGTTCTCCCATGTTTTAGGGTCTCCAAAGCTCCTGTTCCCATCCCCTTGTGCTGCCTGCAGATGGGGGGCTGAGGGAGAGAGAGAGGGATTTTTTTTCTGGTTTCACCATAGGAAGGATTTTCAAACCCTATAAAATTCACTTTTGACAAGTGAACAGCTAAAGCAGATTAACCTTTTTACTAATCCTCTGTAATGGCTTTGGAATCTCCTTAACCAATAAGAAAATGATAAGAGCCCGTTTCTTTTCTTTTTATCTATATCAATATTGTCCTCCCTTGTCTGCATTTTTTTTCTTTCTTGTTTTATTTTCCTTTCCTTTTCTAATATGAAATAGCCCAGCGATCCTATCTCGTGAAGGCTCAGTAAACAGAACATCGGAAAACCCTTTCCTTTATTCCTCTCCAGTAACAGGGTGCAAAGAAGTGGCAGCCGATTGGGATTTGATTACCAGCAGCTATCAAAAGTCTCTTTGTAAGATCTGGGTCCTAAATCCCATAATTCTTTGATAAAAGAGGTATTACCAGTCCATTTTCTGAAGTGAAAGGTATGGGAGGAATGAAAGAAAGCAATCAGCAGAGATCCTAATAGGCTAAGTGCATGTGTGGTGGGAAGCAGGAACGGGCAGAGGAGGCCAGGGGAAGGTGTCCTTTGTTAAGGATGGGGAAGGAAAATTAATCTGCTTTGGGCGTATGATTATTACAGCCAAGAGCAGAAAGAGTCTGATCCTGCATCAGGCCACGACATGTCCCAGCTCACCTGCCTACAGTCCCTTTGGAGCATCACAGTGTGGGGAGCAGAACCTGGCCCCACATCCATTCCCATGTGTTTGGGTACCTGCTTAAAAGCTGGGAGCAGTTTGCGATGATCCCTGGCATTAGTAGATCCCCAGTGCCTCTCCGGAGCACTGACACTTTGGCAGGGCAGCAGTGAACGTGTCCAGGCCAGATGGCTACAAAGGTATTTTCCTGCCAAACCTGTAGCAAATATTTAAAGATTCACAGAGCATGGTTATAACTTATGTTATGTCATTGGAAAAGCTGAAAGAGAGGCAGATAAACGGATTGAAGAAACAATAGTCGTTTGGTTTTAAGTGAGATTTTACAGATATTTGAAGGTCACAGGTAGAGTGGTTATGGGACATCCTTTCCCAGCACTGGGAGACCAGCAGGGAGAGGAAGGGCAGGCAGAAAGCAGACCCAAGGAGAAAAGAATGGGGGCTGAGAGAAGGCTCTCCTGGAGCCTGGCTCTCGTTTTTGAGCAGTGCTGGAACAGTTGTTGGGCTGTTCAGCATGGAGTGACGAGGTGCCACAAGGACCTTTGATGTACAGTGGTTTCACAGCACTCACCTGTGTGTCTCCTTGTTTTACTGGTGGGACTGGTATCTTCTCTCCCCTGCAAAGAAACACCAAGAGGGAGAGCATTCCTGAAGCCTTGCTACTGACCTTGGCTTAAACCGCACTGAGGGCAGGAGAAGTTGGGTTTAAATTTCCCAAGCAACCCAAGCTTAACCACATCTTCTCTATTTTAACTACAGCTGCTCATTTCAGTTACAAACCCAAGATGGAAGATGTCCTCTGTCATCCTGTGGGTCACATCTGCCTGGCCTTGCTGTTTGCCCTCAGGCTGGTTGGTGCCATGCATCCCCTCCTGTCCCGAGCCACCGCTCTTGGCCATGGCCTCACCCCAGTTTCTCTTGCTGGACAGAAGAAGCTGGGAATTGAACTAATGAAGCTTTGGGGAAGCCTGGCTGCTCCAGGCAGCATGTCCAGGCTCCTCTGGGCTCACTGAAGCACCCATTAGCTGTGGCACCCTGCCTGGGCTGCTGTGGGACCTCACTGCCTGCCTGCACATAAAGGCATCAGGTAGCAATCGTTCTCCGGCGTTCCAAATGCCAGCCAGAACTGCAGCTCAGCTGTACAGGAGGTGGCTACATGCCACTAAGCTGTGCCACAGAGCTGCCACGAGCTGCCAGTAATCTAATTTATTAAGGTCTTTGAATCCTTACAAAGATTATGCTGGATACATGCAAAGCATCTGCAGTATCACTGTGATTAGGGCAGCAGAAGTGGAGGAAAGAGGAAGGAGGGAAAATACAATTTCTCTGCTTTCAGCAGAAAATAAATCAACTTTTGCAGAGAGTTCTGGCACAGCCAAAGGCTGTGCTATCATTAAAAATGATTTTTTATTAAGCTGAACTCTCTCCTCTCTCATATTGTGTGATATGACAGCTCTCTTTTGATGGGAAAGCTTTCATTTGGCCAGAGAAAGGGATAATTTGCTTCTTTTAAGGAGTTAATCCTCTGGTCCATTTCTGGGCTGGGAACAGCTATCCTCCCCCTTCCTTGGATCGGAGGCTGCAGCACAATGGAGATCATAACCATCTCAAATCTACACCCGAGATGGAGAAATCAGATTTCCTTCTCCAGTCATTTTTGTGGGATTAGCTAAATCTTAGATCCACACTAACCCTTCACAAAGCTGCCAAGATTAGTTAGAATTTATTTTATTCACAGGGGGGTTTATGGTTTTCTTTCCAAAGGGATTATATATATCTCTCTATATATATTTAGGGTGGCTTCAGTCATAAAGGAGCTGGGTTAGAAGGAGAAAAAGTGCGTGTCTGTATAAAATAAAAACTCAGCTGTGAGAGTGACAAGTCACTTGAAATGCCAAGACAAAGCAGCAATTCCGGATGGCTTTGCCAGCCCATTTCAAAAGCTATGTAAGCTGTTTTTTGGCTTGTGAGACCCCACTCTGGAGTTAGAGCACAGAGAGCAAACCCCCTTCCATTCCCGTGGCCGCTGCTGCTGGCAGAAGATGTCTTCAGAGCCAGGGTCAGATGCCAGCACCAACAGGAGAGGCCTAAAGAAGCCGTGTTCATTCAGCATCGAGGACATACTCTCCAGCCCGGCAGAGAAGAGCCCCCAGGTCCTGGTCCCACTGTGCCTCCAGAGCATCTTGGACTGCGAGCCCAAGGGGTTGTGTGAGCTGGAGACCATCCCAGCCAGCTCCCTGCAGGAGGAGGAGGAGGAGGAAGAAGAGGAAGAGCTGGAAGGGACAGGCTGCAACTGCTGCTGCTGTTCTCACACGAGCACCCGTTCCCTGCAGGACTCCCCGAGTTGGCTGGGTGAGTGTTTGGGTTCTATTCATGGCATTGGGCTTGTGGAGGGACTGGTGCCAGAACCACGTGAAGGGGGAAACCTGGGCGTTAAGTGACAATACTGCATCTGACCTGCCACCACAGTGGTCTCAGATCCCAGCTCCAGCGAGCTGAGCTCCGTCTCAGCATGGTTCCAAAGAGGAGGAACTTTTACCTGCAATGCTACCAGGGCTTGAAAAGCAGCAGGTGTTATTACTTGACATTACTGGTTTAGTGCAAAACACTTGAGACATGATGCTTCTAGGGGTGGAAGTTCTCTGTGGAGTGTGGAGCCCCACAGTTGTGCTGCCTGAAAGCGATGCCCTAAGCCCTTCTCTTGCTTGCATGGTGATCACACAGCTTGTCACCCACGCTGGCTGCCTCCTTCCAAACAAGATGTGTGGATGAACTTGTGCCTGAACTGCCTTAAGGAAGATGTTGTTTCAGCCCCCCTCCCCACCATCCCCCCAACACTGCTGCTGTACCTCTCCCCTTGCAGACACTCGATTCCCATGGCCCATGCGGCTCTTCCACTCGGCAGTCAGGGTCTGTAAGAGTCCTCAGGGGAACCCGGCTGAGCTGCAGACTTGCCACCAGATCCAGCGCCGGACGCGCCGGCACCGCACCATATTCACTGAGGAGCAACTGCAGGCCCTGGAGTCACTTTTCCATCAGAACCAGTACCCGGATGTCATCACCCGCGAGCACCTGGCAAACCGCATTCACCTGAAGGAGGAGAGGGTAGAGGTGAGATCCTGCCACCCGGTGAGGTGCTGTTTGCCCCCCAGCACACAGACCATGTCATTGCACTTTCTTTTGCAGGAGATGCAGACCCAGGGCCACAGTTTAAAACCCATTATTGAGTATTTGACAAAACACTGTTTAAGTCTGGAAAACAGTAGAGGAATATGAAACAGGTCTGCTGGGCTGGTTTGTTCAAGTATCTGACCCCGTAAATTCACAGACTCCCTCTCTCCTAGAATTCCTTATTCATGTGATCTGTGTGACTTCTGAATTTGCCGGGGGAGGTCCCAGCTCTCTTGTCCCCCTTACATGTTTCTAAGCAAGATCGCAGGGAGGGGCTTATTACATTTTGTACCAAACCCTTATACTGGGAGATGTCTCACAGTATACTAAGCTTATGCTGTACAGTCCAAGGGTGTAAACTGCTGTCTCCCTTTCAAGTAACACATGGAATGCAAAAGTTCTTTTTTTGTTTTGCACTTTATAGGTTTGGTTTAAAAACCGTCGGGCCAAGTGGCGGCATCAGAAGAGGGCATCCGCCTCAGCACTGATCCTTCAAGGCACCAAGAAGTCCCCCGAGGAGAGCTGTTAGTGGTCACTGGCTGCATCCCAGCAGCTGAACGCCCAGAGCACCCATTTCCCATAGCTGAGAGGTTCTGTAAGGGGGGGTGACCCGAGGGGGACTAATGAAGCAAAAGGGAATCTCTGACTCCCAGAGGATGAGGACAGGTAAAAGCACATCCCACTTTCTTTGCCAAACCTAGTTCACATGGCACATAACTCGTCACGCATGACCCTCAGATGCTCAAGCAGAAACCACCGCCAAAGCCAGTTTAGGGGACAGAGCTATGCCGGTGTTCAATGTGCGTGCTTCTAGAGGAGGGGAGACTCCTCTTCTTGTCTTTGCCCCCTGCAGGTAGTAGCTGTGCTTGTTTTACTGCTGTAGATGTGCAACACATCTTGCGAATGAATGTTTCCCATTCCAGCACCTCGATGGCATCTGCAGTTGCTTTTC